CTGTCAGATGTGCTCTGATGTCTTCACTGCTTTTGCTGTATTATTCAGAAGGGCGAAAAGGGACAAACTTTCTTAGAATATTAATAATGGGCCCCTCGCCAGTCATTTAGGAGGGATGAGGATTTCCCCGTGAATGTGAATCAGACTCATTTACCCAGTGAATGGATTGCTAAAGTGTGCCATGTCCCTGCAGTCTACGAGGAATGATTTCTCAGTCTGTGTAAAGGGTAACCCATTCAGATTTGCTACATTGTGATAATACTGACAGACAACACTAGTAGGCTCAACATAAAATAACTGACATGCTTTCATTTTTCCACTGCTGCTCTTGTACAAAGGATGATTTTATTCTTCAGCGCAATTCAAGAGCTGTCATATTTCTGTCAGTTTTATTTCTTTTAAAGGAATACTTCAGCATTCTGAAATGTGCGTTATTGTGCTTTGCTTTTCACTGAGTTAGATTGGAGGAAGATTGTAACCATTGTCGATTGCTAAAAAACTTATGCTTCCTAGTTTACTTAACTTAGCATAAAGACAGAAAACCAAGGGAAACAGATGTCACATGTTAAAAAAACACCTAACATCACTTCTACAGCTCAGTAATTAACACATGATGTCTTGTTTGTTTAATACGCAGAAAAACCAAAGTGTAAAATCAGTGTGTATGTGTGGTTTTGCTGTTATGTGCTGGACTACTTCTTGGCCGAGCACACAGAACCGGGCTAGATCCTGATGCCAGTCTTTATGCTAAGCTAAGTTAACTATAACTTCATATTTAACACACAGATATGAGTAGTATCAAACTTCTCATCTGACTATCTGCAAGAAAGTGAATAAGCGTATTTCACAATCAAACGTTTCCTTTAAGCCTTTGAGAATCTTTTAAGGTGTCTTGTCTGAGCAGAGCCCCGGTTGTAAAAGAACCTTTGATTCTTTTGCAAGTGTATTTGAGATAAGATAGAACCTGAGAGGATGTTTTCATACTATACTGTAGGTTGTGAGTTACTTATTACAAAGATGTCATCTTCAACTGTTGCTTGCCGATGACAGCTCATTTCTAAGAAATTAGATGGCCTAATATTGCACCTTTAGCAAACAATCTCACTACATTTGTTTAAATTGTCAACAGTAGGTCTCCAGGAATGCATAGAAACAGCATTTTACAATCAAATGATGATAGCAGTGTTATGCATGCCTATTTCCACACAACACTGCCAAGATGACTTGAGTGGGTGAGAAAGTGAGTGTTGTTAGTAAAGCTGATGCTTAGAGTGAGTCAGACAGAGAAGCCAACAGCATACAAGATTTCAGGAGATAGGACTGAAATCTGTGGACGGATACTCCAGTCTTGTGTTGATTAGCAGGGGGGTTAAATGGAGACAGGGAACGTGTGTCTAAATTTACTAACTGAGAGTGAATGTTTGTGACATTGAGATGCGAGGCTGGTGAGTCAACTAGAATAGATTTCATCTGCCACATCCATAGATGCAAACATAAAACACTACACTACATAAATACATACAAATACATGGGTGTGTATATTTAGGAAAAGAAACAGTTTGTGCACTTAAATTGATGCACTTCGGCTAATGCGTGCGCACACACACACACACACACACACACACACACACGCCACATGCACAGATTCAAGTCTCGGCTGGTGACGAGATTAACTTTTTTTTACCCCAGTAGTTGCAACATCTGCCCGCTACATCTGTCAGGACGACCAGGCTTTCCACACGCGGCACAACAAATCCATCAACACAGCTCAACCATTTACAGATTAACCGCTGCAATAATGCCCTCCCAGAGTACATTGGAATCACATTGCACTGCCACACAACATCTCTTTGACATTTCAGTGTGGACAGGATGTACATTTAACTGACCAGAATTGACCCACGCCATTCCTTCATTCTTCTGTGGTATATTAATACAGACTTAACTTGTAATAGACAAAATTGTAAGTTGTTGAAGTAAGTGGAGATAAATGATCAGATGCGGTTGCTGTCCCTTTAAGCTTTGCCATGGTGACCCAGTTTCTGGCCCAAACCCACGGCTGAGTGTAATTCAGTGAAGCTGTGGAGGATTCTGACTACTGTCTCATGTAATCATGTCAGAGGAGACAGGAATGGGAATTAAGATGCTTTTAACAAGGCTGTAGCCAAGTGGCCGCCTTCTTCACTCTCATTGTTCACAAGCTTAACTCACCGCAAACAGGAAGTCTTGTCTTGTAAAGTTTTAAGGCTCTAATATTAAATCTTCTCATGTAGTTTCACCTGGAAAATTGCTCTGGTATTGTACCGTTGCTCACAGGCTTGACACTCACAAAAATTCAATTTCCCCCCCTTTGCTCTGAGGATTGGAAATTTACCAAGTATTTTGCCCAGAACCAAATAGTTGCTTTTCATTTCATTTTAGATCTGTGTTACTCAAGGTGAACTGTAACAGTGCACTGGCAGAGTCCCTCCAATTATCTTGGAAATGGTCTGTCAAATCACTCTGCTCTTAGAAGCTTCTGAGGTATCTCGTGATCGAGTGGCCAATTACACCGAGAGTGTTGGCCTCTCAAATTGGAGAAAGTGGAAAAAAAAAGCTGCACTAATGGAAACTAGAAGCACTTTTCCTTTTAGAAAATAAAATTAAACGCACAGAAACGTCATTCCAGAACTTTTAACTGGTAGCAAAAGTCAGAGACCTGTGAGTAAAAAGGTCAGTCCTCTGCAGTCCTTTTTCTTCTGTGTTTTTGTTTCAGGTCAGTCGCTGGACGCCCGTCGTATAAGTACTTATCCTTGTCCGCGCCCGTCTGATTTGGACGCTCTGTTTGATGGGGTGATGCAGAAGGTGCGTCAGAGTGCCCGCGGAGCTATAGCACCAGTTGCATGCGTCCAGGCGGTGCGGGCAGCTGCCACCCTGCCTTACACTCAGGGCATGGAGCGGGAGAAAGAGCTGATGGCCACTCTCTTCACCTCAGGCCAGGCCCGCGCCCTGCAGTACTGTTTCTTTGCTCAGAGAGCCGTTGGCAGGTGGAGCATGCCCAGTGGAGCCCGCTGGGACACAAGCAAGCCCAGGCCTGTACATAAAGCAGCTGTCATTGGTAAGAGCTTTGGGCTTTTAATTTCTGTTTGTCTGAGCTTTCAATGAGCACGAGCACGTTGACTCATCAAGCTATCTGTGTGGCAGCTCCAAATTCATGTTGCCTGTGGAAACGAAGCCCTCATTTACAGTTCGGCTGAGTGTAAATGGATGAACCCTCTCTTCCCTGCAGGGACGATTGGATGTATGACAATCTGGATGTGTGAAGCTCAGCAGCTTGTGCATTAAAATTGCAAGCTTTGGAAAAACTTGGTGCTGCCAGGCTAAAACTATTTACAGTCTAGTATTGTATACTTATACTTCACAAAAAATACTTCTTGGTCAGAAATGTCTGTGATTTTTATGTGACTGGTGATTATGGGTTTCTAAATAATAATTTCCGGAGTCACCAATAGATTTTGTCCTCTAAGGTCTCGGCACCATGGGGAGAGGCATAGCAGTGGCCCTGGCTCAGACAGGGTTGTCTGTGGTTGCCGTGGAGACCCAGGAGAAGCAGTTGATGGAGGCAAAGCAGGCGGTATCCGGCATGTTGGAGCGGGGGGCTAAGAGACGCGGGGTGGCTCCTGCGCTTGATGGGATCAGTTACAGCGGAAACATCCAGGCTGTAGCAGACGCCGACCTGGTCATCGAGGCTGTGTTTGAGGACATGACCTTGAAGGAGAAAATCTTCCAGCAGCTGTCCGCCGTTTGTAAACCAGGCACTTTCCTGTGCACCAACACTTCTGCACTGGACGTGGACCACCTGGCCTCTCAAACCCGCAACCCAGAGCTGGTGGTCGGGATGCACTTCTTTGCCCCAGCCCACGTCATGAAGCTGCTGGAGGTGGTGTATGGGACACGGTCCTCTCCTCAAGCCGTGGCCACCGCCATGCAACTGGGAAAGAAGATGGGAAAAGTCAGTGTGGCTGTTGGCAACTGCCGTGGCTTTGTGGGGAACCGCATGCTGAAGCCATACCTCGAGCAGGCCTTCTTCCTGTTGGAGGAGGGTGCTGCACCTGAGCTTGTAGATCGAGCACTGGAGGAGTTTGGATTTGCCATGGGTGTGTTCAGGGTGTCTGATCTCTCTGGGCTCGACGTGGGCTGGAAAATCAGGAAGGGAGACGGGCTGGCGGAGCCTGACATGGCAACAGGGCAATCGGCTAGGATCCGACAAGGCCGCAGGTACAGCCCCCTGGGAGACCTGCTCTGTGAGCAGGGACGGTATGGCCAAAAAACAGGCCAGGGATGGTACCAGTATGACAAACCGGGCGGTCGGGTTGCCAGGTCTGACCCTTGGCTGCACAGCTTTCTGGAGGAGTACAGAGCCCGGCACGGCCTGGTGGCACGGCGCATAGACCAGCAGGAGGTGCTTGAGCGCTGCCTCTACGTCCTGATCAACGAGGGCTTCCACATCCTGGAGGACGGTATAGCTGCAGGACCTGAAGACATCGATGTCATCTATGTCTCTGGCTACGGCTGGCCGAGGCATCGCGGCGGTCCCATGTTCTACGCCAGCATGGTGGGGCTGGCAAAGGTCCTGGAGAGGCTGGAGCACTACCACCAGGCTCACCCTGATGTGCCTCACATGCAGCCCTGCAACCTCCTCAGGAGGCTGGTGGCCAGTGGCAGCCCACCCATCCAAAGGTGGAGAGAAGTCATCAAGAAACTCCACAGCCAGCTTTAAATCTCAAATACCCACAACAAGCTTTAAATCAGCACCATGAACGTCTCTAATTTCTTAATTCACTTTAACAGCGAGGATCTTATGAATGATAAACAGCCAATGAACTGCAGATACATACATAAATTATGATTGTGGATAATATTGTTGGAGCCTGTTGTGCTCTCTGTGATTATCAGTCATAATATAGTAGACTGTGAGCCTTCACTTAGTTACCAGGTTATGTTTAGTTTATGTATAACTTGGGAAAATAATGCAATTCTTTACAATCCTGCAATAAATCCTATCTCTGTGGAGCTTAGAGGTTTTGCTTAAGTATATTAATTGTATAATTATTTTAAATATTTCCCTCATGTATGTAAATGGGGTTGCAACTAGTATAACTACTTTAACAGCTGAATTGATCACCTCTCTAACACTGTTGACAAAACTGAACATGAAAAGCTTTACAAGAGATTAAATGTGTTGCAGGGCTGTTATATTGGAATTCATTATAATTTATGTATGTTTATAATAAACTGGTAATTCTGTGTTTAAAAAAAGAAGAAATACAATGATTTAAATATCTTGTCTAACTCTGCAATAACACATTTATATCAACGCAACCAAAACACACTCTGCTGTTAAATCATGAACTTTTGCATTCAAAGAGATGATTTTGCTTCCTATATTAGGATTTCTTGGTTATTAATAATTAGGTTATGTATAATAAATGCTACTTTTTTACTTTATGTACACAATATATAATACAAATGTAATCTACATCTATTAACTGATGTGCCAATAAAGACCTGTTATATACTCATGCATTGATTGTTTAGTGATTTATACTTAGCTAGTACACCATGTGCAGTATTACCTTTGTTTCACCAGGCAAACACTCTCCTCCTCCGGTGAAGATTAAAAACTGATTTTCTGTTTTTCTGCTGACACAGCTGCAGGTGTGACACAGGAGAACTGAAAGGAGACACACACACAGCACTGAACTGCTTCTATATAAATCAATGGCTCATTCCCTAAGAAATCTCACGCCCAGCAATGAGCAGCAGATGTTTGGGGGTCGCCATCTAGCGGCTGAAGGCTCCGGACTGAGCAGCTGGATTATACAGCACGATGCTCCATTTTGTCTGCAACTACACTATTTCTGAACCTTTCATTGGTTAATGGCAGGTTTATGCAAAATCCAGATTTAACAATGTATGTGATTATGAAATGTTACCAAGGGTTATATCATTTACCACATATTCAGAACACTGTAGCCTATTTGTGAATATTTATTTTTGGGGGTGTGTTGGAGGATTTATTTGTTTCAGATCCAGACCCTGGTGTTTTGAAGTTTTTTTTTAAAGGGGTCGATGAAAGCCTGGGTGTGTGTTTGAAGTGCGCAGAGCAGCTGGCTTTGTGTTTGTGGACTCCTCCCGTTGTGTGATGAAGTTCAGATGCGCGCCGTTGTTCCGTACGCGCGTCACCGGCGCACAGAGGAGCTTCCCCGACGCGAGGGTGGAGGGATGGAGAGATGTGTGGATCACGACCATAGGAGGCTTTTCAATGTGACATTAAACCTCGCTTAATTATACTTTTACAGGATATGTTTGCAGCCTTTGTATGAGCTCTAACCCGGCTGCTCTGCTTTCTGAGATCCAGAAATTCGCCTTTTTTTTCTCGCGTCCGTCTCCCAGTTGAGAAGCTTCCAGGGCTACGTGGACCGTAAAAAAAACCTCTGCTCGGTTTTCTCACGGTCATGTTGTAGTTTACTCGTTTTGATCCAGGAAATGTTGGCATGGCCGCCTCGGGAGCACAGAAGTGTCCGAAGAATGAGAAGTTGGACGAGGCGCAGGCTTTGGCCAAGAGCTGTGCGGGGAGACCAGACTTCCTGCCTTGTGATGGACTCTCCATCTGCGCTACACACAGCCACGGGAAGTGCTTCAAGCTGCACTGGTGCTGTCACTTGGGCTGGTGTCACTGTAAGTTTGTTTTACACGGTTTAAGAGCTCTTAGTATTAACCCAGAGATCCGTCTTACTGTCACTTTAATGTGCCAAAATATGCTCTGTAGTCATGAATGCACAAGCTCCAGTTCACTCTGTGCTCTGACTGTGTATCGACTAAAAAAAAGGACAAAATGCAACTAGATATTGATAAGCTATCACGAAATGTATAATGTAACGCACTGTGAGAGGTCATGTAAAGGTTGGATATCAAACCGGCTTCTCAGACTCGCTCAGAGGGAACATTTGCTGCACCAGTGGTGTTATTTTAGTAAAACTTACAAATAGATAAGAAGAGTCTTGCTTCACATGTCCCCTCTTGATGAGCGTCAAACCTTCACATAGAGGCCCCTTTTATGAATAGTTGATGTAGTCTAAGCAATGATGGCTGCAATAAAAAGCAGGGGTGTTTCAGGGTCATATATTTATGGTAAACTATTCTTTTGGTTTTGTTTTCACTTGTTTTTTTGTTGTGTGGACTGTGTTAAAATTTTGATATCCAGCCCAAACTGCCAGTATACGATATACTGCAGTTCAGTGCAAGCCATGAAAAATGTGTTATCAAAACAGATCCCATCATTTCAGTCCTCCATTATCATTAGCTGTCAGTTGTAATGTTAAGTTAAAAAGCACAGATTATTATAATTATAATGTTAACTTTCCCTGTAAATGCATTAGCTAGATGATATCTAATCTAACATTTAAAGCATTTAGGGGTGGAAAACAATAGAATAACAAAAAAATAATGTGATAAATGTATTAATAATACATTTTTCTAGTTCCTGACTTCCAGTTTACATTGTGTTTAACTCCAAGGAGGCCGAGGGCTTATAGAGTATGCATGCCTGGTTATGAATGCATCAGTTTGCCTTATCAAGATTGTGTCCTTCAATAAGAGAGTATACACACCACGCCCATTCTAAATATGATAGCACACAAGTACACTTTATTATAAGTATCAAAAGAAATGCACTGAGATGAAGATTAAAAATAAAAATACATGATGGTTTGATTAAATCCACCACCAACCTTCCTTTATTCCACCGTCTGTGGAGATAATGCTTGGGGACGTCACACACTCAAGTTCTCACTTTCACTTCTGCTTTAAATTATAGGTCTTGTGATATTCTGTATTTTCGTTACTGTCAGCAAACCCCTCGAAAAGAACAAAACCCACGAACGAACAGCGGTGATCCTCCTAACGAGGTTTGCCTTTGTAGCCAGAGCCTGAAACAGTAGCTTATTCCTCACTGTCCATTTTAAACACATTGTTTCTTCATCATGATGAACATGGGCACTGTGGTTTATTTTTAGTCAATCTCACATACTCAATCCAAGTGAAGTTAATACTCTCTAGTGCACCAAATGTGTATTAATCCAAAGCTGAAAATAGTCCCCAACAAATGCACTATGTAGTCCTGTTTGGTTAACATTTGCTAAAAACTACAGTTCACAGCTGTTTTAAGGAAATTATTTAGGCTTTTTTTAAAGATGAATTTATATATTTGCGACCCAGACTTGAAGATTTACATCTTCTTTATGAAGGAATGGGTATAAAGTACTGAGAGATGAAGTAACATATAATTGTTTTTGGTCTTTTAATGGGATTTGTTGACTTATTTGTTGAATGGGAAACATTTACAATATCATTAGCATTATCCTGTGAAGGAGGACATTTAGCCAGAAAATCATTACATGTTCAGACTAAATCAAGCTGCCAGTAAAGTTCAGTAGCTCCTATTCTTCAGTTATTGGCCAAATATTTGATCATATTAACTGAACTCAATATTTTTACCCCAGTATAATCAATATGAATGTAATTTATACTGTAATACTGTTCAGTTGACTCTATGGGCAATAGAGCACAGCGCAGGCCAGCAGCTCCACTCAAACACGGACAATTTTCGTTTCACTTTGAGAAGTGTCAAGCTGCATTTTCACCACCTTTCTACCTCAGACACTTTCTCCCCATTTGAACCCGACACTTTGACACCACCACAGAATCACTGTAACTGTGTGTGAACCTGACAGGATGTCCGTCCCTTTGTGCTGCCCTAATTTATCCCATCCCATTGGATGCCCTGAAAATCCTCAGATCAGTGTAAAACACAATCAGCCATCCACTCTGCACCAGGCAGTCGGGGCTTATAGTGTGCAACTGCACAAGTCACATTGTAATCTTTGCCATGTAATCATTGGATTTAGATGCCTGCTTCCGTCCAGAATGGGGCAAGTGATTTGAAATATCTGATGTGGCAGAAAAATGATGAACTATTTCCACTGTTTATTATGAGCCACGTCCGGCATTTTTGTTCCTGTTCAGTGTTACATCATTTGTAAACATTTATATTTGCTTCTCCTTCCTGCTTTGAAATATTTATCACTGGATGGAAAATGGATGTGGAGCCCTTTGTCCCCATTATTATTGTTAATACAGGCTTGTTATGGTATAGAAGAAAGAGCCAGCCACATCATAATGGAGCTTCTCACCTTCACATCACTTTCCACTGTAATTCACAGGTTCCCCTCGCAGGACAGTCAATGCACCACAGTGAGAATAAACCAGCTTAGACTGCTGAATCAGGCAGATCCAGGGCACCCAGTGAGAAAAGTATTGCAGCGTGCTTCTGCATGCAATGCCCGCCTGCTCTGCTTGGCTCACACCCTTCTTTTTTGGCGACACATAATAAAACAGAGTGAGTGAAATGCTGTAACACCCTTATCTCGTCACGTTTTCATTTAGAACGTGCCCATGACTGTCGCCTGGAGTATAAAGTTGTTCTGAAGCTGATAATTGTGCATTCACCACAGGGAGCATTGCTAGACTGCCTTTTTAATTACATCTTTAATAGGTTTGCGGGCAAACAAATACAAAAGGTCAATGTGTAGTGAGACTTGGCTCCGCATTTAAATTCTAACACAAATTATTTCCATTATCTTACCTGTGGAGCAGTATTGGGTGATTACCTGTGACTTAATTCCTGGCTTCTCCTATTTCCTATGCAAACAGACACTAATCATCTTTCCAGGCTACAGCAAGAAAAATATGTTTTTCTTTGACGACCTTCCAGGAGTTTCCACTCAGTCGTAGCTTTGTTAAACCTTTGGCTAAGAAAACGGGGTAAAACTGGAATTGGATGTAGGTGGAGGCAGTGTTCCCAGCTGGTGACAACATCAGTCCAAGCCTCTAATTAGTGGTAATTAGCTGTGTTTAGTGTCACCGCCAATATGTCATGTCTGATGAGAGCTTTTGCTCACAGCAACACTGGAACCACCTGGTCTGAATGTTTTTTCTCTCTCTTTATCCTCTACTAACTGATTACAATTACCAAGCAGAGCAATGAATTACTCATTAAGAAAGTCTAAGAGAGTCTAATGAGTTCTGAACAGTCTTGTCAGTCTGCTCGTAGTCTGTCAGTTCCGGTTTTGTACATTAGAGCTTGTACCTCTCTTGTAGATACAAGAAAGTGGGATCTTTTTCTGTCAGACTTCCTCATCTCATCTGTCACACCACGCAGCTGTAGCTTGCAACCATTTCTAAAGGGAAATATGGAGGCTTATTAGATAAAGCTCTGCCCTGTATTGATCGATTTGGTGACCAATTCAAAATTTACCGCAGTGCTGAATCAGAAAAAGCTTCACCTATTATTAAAGGATCAATACATTGTCAGCACAGGCCTGAGGGGATGTTTTTTGATTGATTGTTCGTGTTTGGGAACCACAGTGCTTCGACCACTTTAACTGCTGGTCTCTCTCTTGGAAACAAGGCAGCACCAAACAAAAGTTCAACAAGTTTTAAAGGATTGTTGCAGCTTTAAGTCTGTTTTAACACAATACTATGTTGCCTGTCTGTGTTACCGTCAAGTCATTGCATTGGAAAAACACAAAGGAAGCCGTTCCCTGAAAAGACTGCTACTTTGTAAGATATCTAGGTGATTTGGCAAAGTTAGACTGCTGTATTTACTTATTTTAGCATGCAACATGTCAGTTTTGCAGAAAAAATCAAGTTAGAACAAATGAGAACTGTCTCGTCATTAATTAGAACTGAATGCAAACGAAGCTGCCTAATTGTTGTTTTGTTCCTCCCTGGTGCCTCTGCTATCTCATTGTAGTGACAAGCTAACAACTGACTTACGTTTTGTTGTTGTGGTATGATGCCTTCTGAAAAGGCGGCGAACAGTCTCACCTTTATCACGGTTTTTACATTCATGGTGTTGAATCCAATGAAGTCTCAGATGATTTAATGTTATAGCTCTCCCCGTTATGAATTAATGATGAAACCAACAATTTTAACAAGTCACAGTAGGAAAAAAAACAGGTGTAAATAATAAAATTAATGACGGTATTGTTCATGCAAGCTCGCCGTCACACTGACACGTGAACAGAGCCATTAATGTTATTAGCAACACCTGTGATATTCCTGCTATGACAAGTCCAGATGTCTGCTGTTGAAAAGGTCTATCATCTAGTTAACTAATGCTGTAGGTCAACAAGAGTATCAAAAAATCACTGTAACGGTGTATTTTACAAACATACCCTCCGCAGCACAGCCTGTTGTGAATTTTGAATTTAGTATGGTCCAGATTGAATATTTCACTTACAGTGAAATGATTGTTTGAATAAAAACTGGCAACCCTAGAACGAGGACTGTGGAGATTGTCTCTCATCTCTTACACCGTAGTTGCGTTAGGAAGAGATCACTTCACAGCCAGTGTTGACAAGAGGAATTATTACCCTTGGGCATGTGACTACTGTATAAAACAGACTTAAGAAATCTGAACCTATCCTGAAGCTTAAGTTCAAGCTAAATGTTCACTGTGCAGAGGAAAAAACACTCCAGAGGGTTGCATTTTTTCACTATGGTGACAGACTAAACAGTGGATTTCAAACTGGCTGTGAGTCAAGAATAGCCCTTGGCCTCTGGAGGGATAAAACAGGGAACAGGAAGGGAGTTTCACATGATGCCGGGTCAGATCG